CTGTGGCGGAAAAGAGTAAGCAGTGTAAGTCTTGGCAAATAGGAGAACTTACAGAGCTCACACCGTGGAGTAGTTACTGAACTTACAACCTACTGAGCCTGCTGGACTCGCATTTGAGAGCGATAAGGAGCAGAGTGCCTCTGATGTTCTTGCTAATGGGAAGGGTTTCTCCGTCTTTGTGTCCCCTGAATTTTTGGCAGGTTTTCTGGGAGTAACACACTGATGAAAGCCAGAACACTGCAAGAGTCACTGTAGTTTGGACACCGAACAGAGCCCACAACCCAAGGATGAGGCAGGGAGTGACCTGGCTTACTGACAATGGGGTTTTTCCTGAGAGGGCAGGGATAGGCTGAACCCAGCACCGAAGGAGGAGCCTCAGAAGAGCCTGACAATCCCGATGTATCAAGATACATCTTTGTGAGGCACAGGAAAGCAAGACATCAGCAAGCTGCCAGTTTTCCTCCGAAAGATCGCCCGTTATGGATTTCCGACGCCGCTGATGCTGGATATCTGATCCCGCTGTTTATGCGTCGTTGACTGTGACCTTTATTCGCGCTAACCTTTAATTTCCGGCCATAAGCTTGCCGTGTGTGCAGCACAGTGTGTAGGGGAGGCGCCGCACAATGAATGTTACTTACGGAACCGTTCACAGTGCCCAGAGCACGTGGCCCGGAATGTTACAGAAATGTGGCTTCATAAGTATGGATGGTTATACATGATGCCCTTTACACGTGTATCTGTCATAGATTTGAATTCATTTCAAACTTAACTGCCATTTTTACATCACTGTTGCTTTGAACCTGATATGACTGATTTTTCAGCGAATAGTGAGACACTATGAGTATGCAGGCTGGTATAGAATTAGTCATAAAAAGTTTAAGACAGATGCAGATAAAGAGAACGTTCATTTCATGTCACATCAAATAGAATCAAGTTGTAGCAAACGTATCCAGAATCCCAACTGGATAGCTGCATTCCGCACGTCCTGCTAGCATTCCAGTGGTCCCACAGAGCAGACCTGCATGGGCGCGCTTCTCCAGTCAATGAGAGAGCCCTCCACTACCTCCGAATCTCACCCAGTTCTTCCCATTGCTGGTGGGGCCCCCTGTTGGCCACTACATGAAATATTAAATAAATGCGTTTTCTTGCTAACCAGCTAGTGACCTACAACCTTCTGACTCTATTTTCTAACTGTTTAATTTATCTTGGAAACATCTGGGGGGTGTGGGGGGAGGGGGGGGGTCCTAAGGTGACTTTTTCAGTGGGACCTCAGACACGACAAACCCAGCCCTGGTCAGACATCGGCGGCCTCACGCAAATGCATGGATGCATGGTTTGAGGCGCGACAAGTGCCTCGGCTGATCCTGTGGATCCTGAACGTGGTTTTCACCGACGTTCCTGCTACAAGTGATAGACGATAAGGTGTCCAGGATCTCCTGTTTCCCTCTGCTTGCTCTACAGCAGGGGTCTCCAACTCCGGTCCTGGAGAGCTACCGTCCAGTAGGTTTTCTATCCTACCCGGCTTCTGATAAGCCACAGCTTTTTCTCAGGTAAATACCAGGAGCAGGTGTGGCTCATCAGAAGCCAAGTGGGACAGAAAACCTACTGGATAGTAGCTCTCCAGGACCGGAGTTGGAGACCCCTGCCCTACAGTAACAAGGTGGATTATGAGAGGCAGGCATGCGGTGCCTCATTGGCCTTAATGAAACCTGAGCAGATCCTGCTGCTGCTCTTCCCGCCTGGTGGAGACAAGGTCTGGGCTCCAGCTACCAGCTTCCCCAGTTCCCCTGTGGTCTGCCGGTGGTTCTAACCCCGCCCGCACTCCCTTACTCACCACCTGATTGCAGTGGGCACTGGAGATGTCTCTTGTTTTGAGACAGTCTGATTGCAGTGATGATGTATAAAACTTAAGCCATACGATCATAATCTGCATGTGTTCGTAGAGCTGCTAACGATTATACTTTTACTTGTATATGATCATAGTGCATGTGTTGCAGTTTCAGTGCAGGAATAATTTGCAATCCATCTTTTATGTGACTGTTTGGTAAATAACATAAAATATTCTCTGTTTTGCCCCATTAAACTTAGCTGAAGCTCATACAGAAGAGCTCATTTTTCGCAAACGTTTCCAAATAATGTAAACCTGCAGCAAACGGGAACCTACCAGACTTTGCATGAAAATATCATTACGTGAAGAAATCGAAACAATATGTTTTATAAATTGAAAGGGCTTAAAGGCACTATCTGAAAGGTGCGGTATGTTCCAATAAAAGTACCCATCTAGGATTTCCATCTACAGGGAAAAAAAGTAAACAAAACCTTAGGAATTCAGTCCTGAAGCTGAAGGATATGATTGGTTGCAGCGTACAGCGGCGGAGGGCGACGCCCTGGAAGCTGAAGGATATGATTGGTTGCAGCGTACAGTGGCGGAGGGCGACGCCCTGGAATGCAACCCTGATGGTTGATATATGCGAGCACCTGCGGCCATCCATCACGATGCCAGGGACAGAGAGGCAAGGCAGGGCCCCCATTTTGGGCTGGAGAGTTACGAAGATGATGAAAGCCTTGTTTTGGAGGGGAGCGGGCAGCACTAAATTTGGCTCTAGGACGGGTCCCCCGCGTGGCCGCAGGAAGATGAAGGGCTGGAAATAGATAATTAAAATCCTGGCGGACCGCATTCTCAGTGGGCCGTTCCTGCTCCCCTGACATTTATTACAGGGATTGAATAAAGACCATCATTAATGTCATATACAAGGCCTCCTGGGGGGAGGGGCAGAGATTTGGCTGTGAGGGAGAATGTTCTGGACCGGGGCCCGGCAGAACTCCTGCGGCCTGCCCGTGATGCTGCCCGTGATGCTGCCCGTGATGCTGCCCGTGATGCTGGTGTAATGCTGCCCGTGATGCTGCCCGTGATGCTGGTGTGATGCTGCCCGTGATGCTGCCCGTGATGCTGCCCGTGATGCTGGTGTGATGCTGCCCGTGATGCTGCCCGTGAACGATGTTCTGCGCCTGTCCCGTATTCCAGGCCCTTATAAAATATTCAATCTGGCACAGTAACACCTCCATGACCATGATGTCCAAAACCCCCCCTTTATCATTCCTGCCTCTCGACCCTTGACACCTGCCCCAGATAAACTCCGTTCTTCCCTCTGCCCCCCCCCCCCCCCACTTCCAATAATCCGAATCTATGTACCTCGAGGTCAAGACTACTGACCGGTTTACTCCTCAGTCTCTTGGCAGTGCTGCCTACATTCACTGCAAACTGCACACTGCTTATGGATATTTATGATTATCATTTCATGTCTATTGTCTATTGTTTTATATGTTTATTCCGAGCTAGCCAAGCAAGCATTACACTGCACATTATACAGTGGCCAGTACACAGTATAACTCCCTATGTGACAAATTAAACTTTGATTATTAATTTTTGCATTGATTGGTTAATACAGCTTCACATCCGACAGGAATTGCAGATATATCCAAGTGATGTTTAGGTTAAAGCGGCACTCTGGGAATGGGAGAGAGAGCGTCCTGCCGCGGTCCTGCAGCGTAGCCCGTCCTGAGAGTCTGCGCCCGCAGTCGAGCTGCCCAACCTGTGTGTGCATCCTTAACCACAGTATATTTTTAAGAAGGCTCCATAAAATCACACATTTTTAGGGACAGCGAAGGATGCGGCTACAAGGACAGGTACAAATAATAATTATGAGCTGCTTTCACCGAGTCTTCAATGTCTGCAAAGGATTTAGTCGACAATTTGACCTCAAAAATGACGTGCGGCATCCAGCTGTATTTTTGTTTGGCACTTTTTTAATATGCGTTTCTTTAGTATTAATACCAGTAAATCCTCCCTTGGTTTTACTGGTGTACAATAACTTGGATTATTTTTTACGTCTGTTATTTTTAATATTTTTGCCAACATTATGCATTAAAAATGGTCAATGGTCAATGAAGCAATATTGGTTTTGTAAAATTCTGCAGTAATTTTTCAATGAGAATTGTAAAGCAAAATAGGTTATTACCATATAGGGAATACCCAGAAAATTAATATATATTCAAATGAGAGGGAGTGGCAGTTAGTCATTTTGAATTCCATTAAGTGTCTTTAGTTATTTATATTTTCATATTCCGTACTCTGATTTATAATATGATGGTTTAATCTGGTGAGGTGACAGCAGAAACCCAGAGTGTAAAGAGAAGCGAGTCGGACCCAAACCAGGCCGCCCCGTGCCATCATTACGTAAAGAGAAGCGAGTCGGACCCGAACCAGGCCACTCCGCGCCATCGTTACGTAAAGAGAAGCGAGTCGGACCCGAACCAGGCCGCCCCGCGCCATCGTTACGTAAAGAGAAGCGAGTCGGACCCGAACCAGGC